AGAAAATCATGGGGAGTGATTTGGGGTTGATTGGAAATTGATTAGGGAGATTATGGTAGGAATTCAAATGAGAGAAAAGTAAGGAGGAAGAAGATTATGGGAATATATTTATTTATTTATTTATTCATAATATTAAAAAAAATCATTATAATAATAATGAACCATATAATAACATTAATAAATAATTAACAGCTAAATATTTATATATTTACATATGTACTAATATACTAAGCTCAAGTTTACATTAATAATAACAAGGTCACTAATAATATTAGCTACCAAAAGACTATATAAAATCATTAAACCATAAATTAATATTTAGTAGAATTAATAAATACAAGACTATATATTTTATTATTTATTTATTTTGAAAACTCAAAAAAATTCCAGAAATTAGGAAAAGTATTAACAAAATATAATATAATATTTTAAATACTAGAAAAATTTATTTAAATATGTATCAAAATTTACGGTTGTTACACCAAGAAAGGTGCCAAAAGAAGTTATGAATTATTGGAAATCATACACACAGACATTTGTTGTCCAGACATGGATGCATACCGTGATAAGTACTTCATCTCTTTCATAAATGATTACTCGTGATACATGTATCTCTACTTGCTCAACAGTAAGAATGAAGCACTAGATGCTTTTAAGGTGTTTAAAGCAGAAGTAGAGAAACAATGTGGCAAACAAATTAAGATCGTGAGATCCGATAGAGGTGGAGAATACTATGGTAGATATACTGAGAGTGGCCATGCAAATGGTCCATTTGTGAGGTTTCTTCGTGAAAATGGGATTGTTGCCCAATATACTTTGTATGGCTCTCCGGACCAAAATGGAGTAGCTGAAAGAAGAAACCGAATATTATTAGACATGGTGCGTAGCATGCTTGCTAGCTCCAAACTTCCTAAATCCTTGTGGACTGAAGCTCTCAAGACTCCTTTTGAGTTATTCAAAGGTTGGAAACCAAGTTTGCGATATGTACGCATTTGGGGATGTCCGTCCGAACTAAGAGTCTACAATCCACAAGAAAAGAAGTTGGACCCAAGGACCCATAAGTGGGTATTTTGTTGGATATGCCGAAAGGTCTAAGGGATACAGATTTTATTGTCCATCTCATAGCACTAGGTTTGTGGAATCAAGAACTGCTAAATTTCTTGAGAATGACTTGATTAGTGGGAGCGATCGATCTCAGGGCATTGGTCTTGAGAAAGATCATTTAGATGCTCATTGTGCCACTTCAAGCAACGGACTGATCGTTGTTGTTAACAACGTGCCTATAGTACAAATGCGTGTTGAAGAACCAGTTCACGAAATATCACAAGCTGTTGATCCTGATTTAGTAGATGTTGAAGTTCAACAAATACCTGAAGTTGTTGAACAACTAGCTGAACAACATGATCCTGATCCTCAGGAAAATGTTGATGCAGCATTAAGAAGATCTGCTAGAGTAAGGAAATCGGCGATTCCTAGTGACTATGTCGTGTATCTACAAGAGTCTGACTACAATGTTGGAGCAGAAAATGATCCTGAGACGTTTTCACAAGCCATGAGTTCTGAGATTTCAAACTTATTGTACAATGCCATGAAAGATGAGATGGATTCTATGGCATCAAACTGAGTATGGGATCTCGTCAAGTTGCCTGATGGTATAAAAGCCACTGGATGTAAATGGGTTTTCAAAACAAAGAAAGACTCACAAGGCAACATTGAGAGATATAAGGCCAGACTCGTTGCCAAAGGATTCACTCAAAGAGAGGGAATCGACTACACGGAGACATTTTCTCTTGTATCTAAGAAAGATTCTCTTCGGGTCATTATGGTATTGGTTGCCCATTTTGATTTGGATTTGCATCAAATGGATGTGAAAACGACCTTTCTTAATGGTGACCTAGAGGAAGAAGTTTATATGAAGCAACCTGAAGGTTTCTTCTCTAGTAATGGTGAGCACTTGGTCTGTAAGCTTAATAAGTCCATATATGGATTAAAACAAGCTTCACGCCAATGGTATTTGAAATTCCATGACGTTATCACATAATTTTGTTTTGAAGAGAACGTCATTGATCAATGTATATACCAGAAGGTCAGTGGGAGCAAGTTTTGCTTTCTTGTGCTATATGTGGATGATATTTTGCTTGCGGCAAATGATAAAAGTTTGCTATATGAGGTAAAACAGTTCCTCTCGAAGAACTTTGATATGAAATATATGGGTGAGGCATCTTATGTCATTGGCATTAAGATCCATAGGGAAAGGTCTCGAGGGATTTTGGGTTTGTCTCAAGAGACCTATATCAAAAAGGTTTTAGAGAGATTTCGGATGAATGATTATTCACCGAGTGTAGCACCTATTGTGAAGGGTGACAGATTCAGCCTAAATCAATGCCCTAAAAATGAGCTCGAGCAGGAACAGATGAAAAACATTCCATATGCTTCACCCGTTAGAAGCCTAATATATGCTCAGGTCTGTACCAGACCTGATATAGCATTTGCTGTTGGAATGCTAGGAAGATATCAGAGTAACTCAGGTATTGACCACTGGAGAGCTGTAAAGGAGGTGATGAGATACCTTCAAGGAACAAAGGATTACATGCTCATGTATAGACGGACCGACGATTTGGAAGTGGTTGGTTACTCTGATGCGGATTTTGCTGGATGTGTTGATTCATGCAAATCAACATCAACATACATTTTCATGCTTGCCGGTAGAGCCGTGTCTTGGAGGAGTGCAAAGCAGACTTTGACTGCTACTTCCACTACGGAGGCCGAGTTCGTATCATGTTTTGAGGATACGTCACATGGTGTATGGTTGAAGAGTTTCGTGTCAGGGCTCAGAATTGTGGATTCAATTTCTAGGCCAATAAGACTGTATTGTGACAACTCAGCTGCTGTTTTATGGCTAAGAATAACAAGAGTGGTAGTCGTAGTAAGCATATCGACATCAAATACTTGGTCATTAGAGAATGTGTTAAGGAAAAGAAAGTGGTCATTGAGCACCTTAGCACTGAGTTGATGATTGCTGATCCTTTGACTAAAGGCATGCCATCAAAGAATTTCAAGGATCATGTAGTAAGAATGGGACTTGGTTCCATGATGTAAATATTCATTGTACGTACATTTGATCTTTTATTGAAACTCTTATTCAGTTGATATTTCTCATTTGTTTTTGTGCACATACATATATGTTTATTTTATTGAGAAATATCATTAAAGTTTAGACCTCGAATAAACATAGGGTTTATTCATTAAATCGTTTGGGATTGAGAGACACGATCCATTGTGATACATGGAAGATACTACTCAACATTAGAGAACATATCGCCATGATTCATGTATTTTGTTTTTCATTAAGGTGGATGATGGAATGTTTGGACCAAGTGGGAGAATGTTGGTTTTATTCTCTCGGTTGGTTACAAAGTGGTCCAATAACTTCTCATCATCAAGAGAGTTGGTTATAACTTAACCAACCACTTTGCCCACTAATTCGATTATTGCTTTTTGATGGAGAGAGTGGAAAAAGAATATATATCTCGGTTGGTCCCTAATACCTGCTCTTCAATTTTTTGAAAAGAAAATACACCATCTATTAGTAAAGAGATAAGGTTTAGAAGATCTTCTAGAAATCAACATCTATTATCCATTGTATAAGACAACAATGGCTGGAGGTTAGTTTAATCAATTTTGCTTCCGTTTTGATATAGATTATAATTTTCAGTTTCTAAACATGTTTAAATCAAGTATTTGAATTTCTATCATGTTTAGATGACTTTAGTAATTTCATTTTTTTTTAACAAAAGTGTCACCGGCTTCAATTTAATACTAAAATGACGAAGCGGTGTCACTTTATATGTCTTTTGGTATTTTAGCCAACAATGATCTTTACGTAAAAAAAAATATGGCTATCATATTGATCTGGCAATAAAAAGGAATGTTTATTGCGTTATAAGTCACAATCGCACACAAAATTTAATCGTGCCCAACCTCTGTAACTTTTGCATAAGGGTCATCATGCCATCAAGCTCCATCTGCAGAAAATAGCCAATATATCTGTACAGCGTTTGCTAAAAATCCTGTGACTTCGCTCTTTTTCCTACGAAAACACGTCTACGCTTGTAGCACTTCTCCTTTTCCTCCCCATCTTAGTTGTAATCCTTGAAAGAGTATCATCATCATCATCATCATCAAGAAACAACAAGCTCCCACCTTGGTCCACCAAAGCTCCGACTCATAGGAAACCTTCACCAGCGCTCCCCTCCATCAATCGCTCCGTTATCTCTCCAAGAACCATGGACCTCTCATGCTCCCCAAGCTAGGTCAAGCCCCGACCCTCGTCCTCAGACATGGCCAGAGAGACTCTGCGTACCCGCGATCATATTTTCGGTAACAGGCCTTCATTACTAGCTCCAACTATTATGCTGTACGGAGCCAGAGATGTGGTCTTTGCACCGCGTAGTCAGCACTGGCGACGAACCAAGAAGCTACGCGTTAGTCACCTCTTCAAAAATATGAAGATGGTTCGATCTTTTCGCTCTGTTTGTTGAAGAGGAAGGGGCATTTACGGTGTCGAGCATATCTGATACGTTCCCATCACGTGCTGCAGTCGATGTGAGGTCGGTCTCGAATGTGCTCGTGAACAGGCTCTTGTGTAGGGTTATATCTGGCAGATCAGCGTCGGTGATTTTGTGCCATGGCTTGGATGGTTGGTCGGAGTTTCAGGCTTGAAGGCGAGGGTTATGAAATCTTTCAGAAAATGGGATGCTCTTCTCGACGGGGTCATTGGAGAAAATGCGAACAAATTGAAAGAAAAGGTGGACGGAGAGAAATTAGGTTTCATAGACGTTCTTCTTGCTCTTCAGAGCGAAAAAGATGCAGAGATCTCGCTTGAATATGAAAAAACAACGGCATCTCCTGAAACTTTTCGGGGTCACCCATCGATCTGTCTATCTCTTTGCACGTTTTCATATGCTACTTCTTTTATGGCACGTAACACATTTACAACGATATTGATATAATCTTATTCAACTAAGAAAGTTGCGCAATATAGCCATTGTAAAATCTAGTCGTCCAAGTTTTACATGCTGAACGGTAAGAGTTGCCTGAAAATACACAACAACGGAGCAACAAAAAAAAAAAACCAGCTCGAAACCCTATTTTTGGAAAAACATATTCATGTCTTCCACTTCAACGCTTCGCTTTTGTTGTTCGACAATATTTAAATCAATTCACTGCTGGAAAATCCCTTTTTTTTTCCTTCTTGGTCCAATTTCTTTATCAGTGAGCTTGGTCTTCTTGACAAGCTTCAGAGCCACAACTCCAATTCGGACAACCTAGAAGTCGGTTTGATTTGCTACAATTGCAAACATTGCAATTGCAGTTTCATGCAACTATGACACTTTGGACTAATCGCAATTGTCCGTTACACCGCAACTAATCAATGCGCTTCCAGTCCCAGTTGACGACTTGCACATTACACAATTTGGACGTAAGCTGCAATTTATAACTAACTGTTTGAGCTGGGAATAGAGTTTATATTGCAACTTTGCGCTTGCGAATATGCAAATATCTTTAAAACATGAGGATACAGTGAAAATTGTATAAGATACATGAAGTATGCAATATCAACAAAACCTAAAGATACATATATTCACAAAAAGAACTACTATTGTTATTATCATCAATCAAAGCAGTAGGGAAAAGCTCCTACATGTTTCAGTGTCCAATCTAGAGGCTAATACTGCCACTGCCAATGCTGCAAGTAATAACAACATATAAGCTGGCTAATCCCTATCCAATCTTCTTCAGTTGTCATGAAAGATTAAAAAGTATAAAGGCATATATAAATAGGAACCAATATATTAGTACACTGAACAAGATGTGAACGCGTTTATGGATGAAGTAGCGCCGTAAAGCTGAACAAGATACAAAAAACTTGCTCTTACCCAATACAGTCACCTTCATCTCTCTAAAGAAATGCAGCAAGCTTGTTATTTTTGGTGGGATGCCTCGGTATGAAATCCTCCAGCTTAAGATTAGAATTTAAACATATCTCCCTCAACATCGAATCCCCCTTCGCCATTTTTATGAATTCTAAAACACAACCTAGGACTTCTGATGCAAGCCCAGATTCCAATAAACTCCCTGGCTCTTCTCCCCCTTCATATATTATTTTTCCTATGTCTCTTAAAGAAACCACATCCTCTAGTGCAATTTTGGCAAATATGTGACCAAGGAATTCTGGAGCCTTGGGAGCATCATTAACGGCATCCTCAAGTGAAGAAAGAACATATTCGAACCTGGAACAATTATATGTGAATTTTATTGTTGATGTTGAAAAAAAAAAGTTTGATTATTGTAAGAGCTTGGACATACCCCTGGATGAGCTGAAAATGGCTGAACAAGCTATTTTGATGTTTGCAAAGGCTGATGAGAAGCTTGGCCAAGAGATCTCGTTCTGTTTCTTTCCTTTCAAAGGAGTCTGCGATCCATAGTGATATCATGGAAGAGTAGAAACTAGGGGAATTGAGCTCTTTGATGCATAAAGCTACCTCCTCCTCATCTTTGGCACTGAAAATTAAAGAAGCACCATAATACTTTGTACAATGAAGTAACAATTAGAACAGACTATAGTCCACACAAACATGAGAAGAAAGAATAAACTCGCCCAAGAAAACATAAGGCCTTTATAAGGGCTAGAAGTTGAGAGCTTTTTATTTGACATAATTTGACATTCTTAATTTGAATATTTTCATCATTTCATCTTCTTATAGCTAGAATTTTTCAAAGGTAGGGATCAGTTAACTACATAAAATCTCAGAATTCATCTTCTTATGGCTCAATGAGTATTGTCAAAATTTTATTCAGATATCAACCAGCCTGCAGTACCAAATTGTTGGCCCATAAAATGTCTGACCACAGAGAGAATCACCATAAATTCTCAGGTCCAAGCTTGGGAGGTAATAAATTTTAATGTAAGTGGCCCTGCAGTAGAGTGTGTAACAAGGAATGAGACGAAACAGACTTTTGGAGTAATAATGGCTATGATTGGGGGTTTGGTCTGGGATATGGAGGAAAAGGAGGCAAAAGTAAGCCGAGGCAAAGGTTTTTTATTGATTTCACATCAAGAAAACAATTCGCATGCACCCAGAATTCTCAATCCAACGAAAAAAATCATGCAATTTACAGATCCCCCAAGGTCCAAAGTGAAATAAACTTTGTATCAAACATACTACACATACTAAGGCGAAAAGATACTATAATAAAGTTCTTTAATAACAAGATGCACAACAATAAAATGTATCAAGCAATACTTAACAATAATAAATGACTCATGCATAACTCCAAAATGAGCAAGAAAGGATAAAAGATTGGGGAAAGATAAGAGCGACAAGAGAAAGGAATGTAAATAAGCAAACAAAAATAGAAGAAATTTGATTTTGTTCTGGAGGTATTTTGCAGCAGATGGCAGTGAGGATGGGAACCAGCAAACAACATAGTGCTACCTTGCTGGAGGCTGCGAATCAGCACACAGTAGATGCAGAAATGTCTCCACAGTAGATGCAGAAATGTTTCCATGAGGTGGCAGATTGAATCGTAAGGGTTTTCTTCCTCATTGCTACCAAATAGCAACGGGATAACCATCAGCTAAATTGGGGTTAAGAAATTGGATCTGGTGTTCAGCACCTACTGACATCGTGACACTCCTTATATAAGGCTTTTTCTGGTATAAGTAAAAAAGGATTATGTTTGGCATTTTTTATCCAAACCCTAAGAATATTACAGTTTTTAATTAATTATACAAATAGGCTAAGAAAAACTCCATGCTTAAGCACATTGAAGTAGAGTGGCAAACACCCTTGGACCACCAAGGCAGGCTAATTACCTATGCTGCTGCTTTCTGAAAATTTTGGGACTTTAACATTTAACTTGCATGTAAAATACTAAGTTTTTCCATTCAACTAGATCCAGTTGAATTTAGCAGTTAAACTTCCTCATCATGCACTTAAATGCTGCTTGAGGGTGCTTCTTAACATATCTTGTATAAAACAGTATTCCACTGCTGTGAAATCTACAAGGAGATGGAATGATTAGGGAGCAAGATTAATCAGAACTAAAGACATGCCGTGAAATCTACAAGGAGATGGAATGATTAGGGAGCAAGATTAATCAGAACAACTAAAGACATGCCGCAGTGTAACTTCCTGAATTTGTTTTTGTGACATTTTCCTTTGAAATTCAGGGGTTGAAAACAAAGGCATGCCTCAACATGAAATCAACAGGTGACCTTTGCAATCACCAGAAGCAAGGCAATGTCTACTTTATCTCGTTTACAGAGAAGCATATAGTAAACAATTTTGCTAGGCATTCACTGATAACATATAGATAAGGTAATATCAGCAAGAAACAAATCAGCTGAGAAAAAGAACATACCTATAGAACTCCCTTATGGCAGATACGGACTTCTCCCGTAAATCTTCTTCAGATAAAAATTTTGACTGAGACGGTGTCTCTACAATTCCACTTGAAGATCCATGTATTCTCCCAGAAGGGTTAGTTGATGCAGATTTATCATTCACATCAATCCGGAAGTCCCTGTTACAAAAAGTATTACAATCTTGTGGACTTCGTTTATCTAAAATGTACCTGAACACTTATCTTGCACATACCTTAACATGCTTTCTCCTCTAATGGACATACCCCGAGCTAGACCACCTTGAGGACCTAAAGTGATGGAATTGTCATCAGTGGTCCTTTTCGGGAGGGGAACAGATAGCACCCTACTCTCAAAGTGATTTCTGTCATCCGCTCGAGTATCTTGATTGGTATACCCACGGAACTGAGTAGGTAAACCACGAGCAGCGCCAATTTGCTGAGAATTTGGAGAAGATAGCAAAGCAGATCCTCTCAGGTTATAATCAGCAGGAGGTCCTCGTCTTGGTCCAGAAGTAATGACAGGGCCACGAGCCAATCTGCCAGCTTGAGCTTGCCGCTCATGTGCTGCATCTCTGTGAACCTCATCAATCTTCTTTGGCCCTTCAACTTTTCTTCTCTCTTTCCAATTATTCTTTCTAAGATCAATTGTGTCCCTTAGCAAGAATCTAGTTCGAGGTAATAGCTTCGGATGGGTAGAAAGTTTTGAGATCCTGTCAAAATATGCATCCATATGTTCCTTGGCCTTGGCATGATCTATCATGGCCCCTATTGTGCTCATCAACTTACACAAAGATTCAAGATCCTCCTCATCAGGATCCTGATATTCTCCCAGCAATTTTTGTATACATGCATGCATGATCCTCTCTGTCAGCATTCTCTTTTTGTATAATTCTCCTATCAGACGAATATTTCCAAGCATCCGTCGTCGTGCCTTGATTCGTTTCTCTTCTCTTTGTGCTGCAGTTTGTTTGCTTTCACCTTCCTTTTCTATTCTGCCCGCTTCCTCCTCTCTCTCACCTCTTTCAAATTCTTCTTGGCACTTGTTGAGAAGCAACCTTTTAAAGGTAATTTTTTCATTGTCCTCGACGAAATCTGGTAATTCATTAGAAAGGCAGGCACAGAAATTTGCATACATCTCACAAAAGGTTGGCTCCGACAAGGCTTTATCAAAAATCTGGGAAATGACCCCAGTAAGAGTAACTGTGTTGTCGATGTTAACCTCTTTAACTTGTAAAAAGAGTTTCTCAAAATTCTGAGGTGTCAACTTGTTAAGTATAGCTTTCAGCTGCCTTTGCTTTGCCTGTTCTATGTCAGACACCTTACCTATTTCATACTTATTTGCAGCCTTATGCATTATTTGAGACGGTGCATGAGGAGAAGGTATAAAACCTCTTTGAGCACCAATAGCACGCTGCCACCTGTCTGAATCAGCATTAGACAGAGGTTGCATAGGCCCAGGGAGAATCCCACTAGCAAAGTGAGTGGATGGATGAGCACGTGAATGCCTGACAGCCAGATTATTAACTCCTTGAGCTGGTCGAGAACTTATATTGGCAACCGCATAACCCATATTTAATCGAATGTCATGCCCAATACCAAAACCAGTAGCTGCTTTGGTCCACTTCTCATCATTTCCATGATAAGGAGATCTATCCAGGATTCTTCCTGGGCTGGGATATGTCCTGACTGGACTAACCATTAAAGCATTTGCTATGTCAGATTCTATCTCAAAGCCTACAGGAAGATCTGCAGATTGCTCAGAAAAGGTCAACAGAAAATCGATGGTGTAGCTCTTTTTACTAGTAGTTTCATTTTTATGAGCCTGCTGTATGTTCTCCACCGCTAAATCTGGAGAAGAGACATCAGCGGCATCTTCCCAATCATCAATCTCAGATGTAATCTGCCCAACTTCTACATCAAGAACATCTTCATTATGGTCATCTGCAAGCACATTCTTTGCATCAACTGTTAAAGAATCATCAATGCTTTCTGATGTATCAACTACTGAATTTTTTTCCTCTGGGCCCTTGTATGCATTATAAAGGTCTGAACTCCCTGCAGCATCTGCCCTAGAGAGAATGTCCTTTAATTTCTTCTTTTTTCCAGCATTAACCTTACTTCTTACAGGATCCAAATTAGGCTTGTCTTTGAGTCCCTCCCTACTGGACGATTCTGTAACTTCACCGTCCAATTTATGTTTATGCCCCAAGGAAACTGAACCTTGTAGAGAATCCTGGCTGCTTTCCGTTTCAAATTTATTTAAAATACTATCAGGGCCTGAAGGTTTATCTTCAGCGGCATGAGAAGATGATAAAGGATATCCGGTATGTTTAGACTCAGAAAATGAAGAAAGAACATCTGTCTTCTTTTCTCCCATTTCAACCTCTAGCCTGCAGTGCACCACCTGTCCAGTCCCTGGCTGCTCTTCACCATGACATAATACATGACTAGCTTTTTCTTCAGGCTTATCAACTACAATTTCTTCATTTTCCCTAGTTGCAGTTGTATTAACAGTTTCAAGAGAATCAGGTGCTGTGGAAACTGGATATGATCCAGCACTTGTGCTATCTTGTAAATCAGCAGATACTTCAGATTTGCCATTCAAAGCTAAATCTTCATGTGCTTTTTCAGTTTCAGCAGATGTATTCTCATGTAAATTTGATGCGGAATCAGAAATTTCAGATATAGTTCTCCCAGCCTTAGAATCCAAAGAAGTTGATGCCTCATGTGAATCTCCCTCCTCAGACAAATAGCGGTTGGTTGCCAACTCCAGTGAAACAGCAGAACAAATAGAAGAATCTCCTGATACTTCCTTTTCCAGTGTAACTCTATATGACTCGGAAAGTGAAGGCACTGCTTTAATCTTGGATTCTGCAGAATTTTCATGTTGTACAGCTGGAAAAGGCAAACCAGTGATAGAAGCAGAAGAATTTGACAGTGAAAGGAACTCAAGCTTCTCCTGAGCAATCATGTCACTGCTATCTTTGATTGACTTCGAGATTGTTTTTGTCATTCCTTCAGAATCTAGTACATCTGGCTACACAGATGCAATAGTACCAATAAATTATAGATAAAGTAAACATGCACAACTACATGAAAACAAATTTCAGCAAGCAAAATTAAAGGATAGGAAAAAATGGACACCTTATTTTGTTGCTGATGATATGCTCTTTTACTAGTTCTTCCCTCCTGTTCCTTTATGGAGTCTGATCTCTGAATAGAATCTCCAACTGGAGTCAAATGTGATGAAGATATTCTAGAAGATGGTGCTGTGGTGGAATGTTCATCTTCAGCTGAAAAAGTATCACTTGCTATTTCAATTGATTTGGGCTGCTGATCAACTTCACCACCCTCTTTCTGAGTTTGCAACTTACTTTGGTGTATTGATCCAGTTTTCTCCTCAAATGAATTGACAGCTGGTCTAATTGTCACACGGACAGAAGGAGGAGCAGAAACTTGCAATGATTGCTCAGGTTTGTTGCCTGATATGGGATTATGGACAGATTGCTTACTGAACAAAATGGTTTGCCCATTTTGACCAACAGGAGTTCTATATCGGGGACCTTGTGAACCTGTAGTCATTTGAGAATTAGATGTGGGGTTTAAAATTGGTGAAGGGTTATAAGAATTAGCTTGCATGGTAGAATGGTAGTTTGTTTGATGAGAGGAACTAAAAGTCAGAACGGCTTGCAGCTTTTGATTGGATGCCTTACTCTCTTTATGCATATCAAGCTTCAACTCTTCATGTGTATCTGGATGAGTTATCTTCACGGTGCTCCTCCTTGTACCAACAAAAGTTACAGGCTGTGGCTGAGAAAATTGTGGGCCAATCCCAAACCCGAGGTTGCCTAACTGAGAAGGCATTTGGTGACCTATTTGATGTGCAAAGCCTAAGCCCTGCCCCTGATGCATCATGGTCGGTTGTTGCAGTGGATGAGACGGGATACTGGGAACAAAAAACTGCTGAGGAGCTTGGGCAATAGGTAATGCCATCGGCATTTGTAGTGAATTGAATGTGACACCTTGTGGTTGCATTTGTGGGCTTGGACCACCAAATTGAATGGGAACTTGAGGCTGTTGAAAGGGGAGGTGCATTGGCATCCCACCTATAGGAAGAACAGAAGATTTTGGTGGTATTGAAGCAGGAGCCAATGAAATGGGAACATGTACATCCCTGTTTGTCTGGGATTGAGGATGAGAATCTCGAGTGCTAGATTGATTAAGGCCAGTCACATCATTCCTCATCTGCTGCTGTTGCTCTTTTAGAGCAGTGGGTGGAGGCATTGTGGATTTGGTCCTGAACGAATCATGATGAGCCTGAGTATGAATAACGAGGTCTCCAAATATCAGCTTAAAAGAATTACCAGGTAAATGATATTAATTTAGCAACTATCAAGAGTGACAAATAATCCATAGTGAGGATGCAATGAAAGGATCTACCACATCAGAATATTAATAATAATAATAGAATCTTACATAGGCTGCAGTTGAAATTTATAAGAAGTACTATAAATGTATACCATTAATGGGAAAGTATGAAGCATCAAAAACTTCACGAGATGTGAATTTCCAATCACCACGCGCCAATATTAACATATAAACTACACGTCTTTCCTTCCAGAGACACAGACTAATTGATAAGCATGTACTAGTTTTCAAAATGGCATATTGTCAAGGCATGCACAGCACTAAATTAGAACAAATACAGGATAACTTGGAGGATAAGAGACCAATTTTCTAAAATAAGTACTAAAAGGAGTGCACAAAAAGATTCTGATCAAAAAAAGAAGTTAACAAAAAGATTTGATGCAAATAAAATGAGCCTCGCTCAGGATGATGATCAGAAATAACAAACTATGACTAGAGCTTGGCCAGGTGGATGAATTGGGGATACTGCATTATGAATAAGGGTTGAGGATATTTAGATGTACAGGTCCTACTGTGGTGGTTTTAGTTAAATATCAACCTTGACTATTTAAGGTTGAATCTCTAACTTGGTGTATTACTTTTAACGTATTCAAAATTTGGAAGGATGAAGCAAGTGAAGCTTCCATGGTGCTGTGTAAAATACAGGCCTTGATGGTTTATGCTATAATGCTAAAATTTCCAAGACAAGAATAATTGATGGTGTTTCTGCACCTGAGAAAACAAGGCCGGGTCAAACATTCTATAAAGAAAAAAGTGGACATAATAAATACTTAGTTATGCAATAATCGTGACTTAGTAAACCAATTAGATCTTCTCAATTAAATAAACAGGAAAGTTAACAGAAGGACAAAAGCATAAGTCCTAGCTCAATTCTGGAGGAAGTCCTATCTCAGTTAAAAGATATATTCAATAAAATCGAACTCTGTGTAAAGTATGATATAATATATACTCCTCAGCTCCATGAGTATGAACCAAAAAGAAAGCATCGGAACATTAAATCTTAATATCTGATCAACTTGGTAAGTGTATACTCCAACAAACAAAAGATAACTGCTGGCCAATCTAATGATGTAGCAACAAAGTAATGGAATAATCAGTCATTAGCCGATAATTGATCATTTACTATATACTAAAACTAAAGGGAGGTAGATAAGCACTGTTCACTTCCACAGTAGAACCTTCTTTTAACTCTCAAAACCCCCTCTAAAATCCCCAAACGGAAAACTTCAAATACTAAACTCTGCTACCACTCAATCTCTCTCTTTCTCTCACTTCTTCTCTTCCTCGCATAGCCACTCCCCAAACTCTTCTCGACCCTTTAAACAACTCGTCAAACCCGAAGTTCCCAAACCCCAACAACCACAAGGACGACGACAATACTACAGAGACTCACTGTCATCATCCCCATCAATGATGATGGATTCTAGGTCTTTGTCGCAATGTGGTGGGTATCATGGTCAGGGAGCTTGGAAAGCGAGGTGGGAATGCGGGATTTGTGCTTGCTCATGGCCAGGTGGGAAGAGAGGGATGGAGTGTCTAAGGTTGGAAATTTTGAGGGTTTGGGCTTAGGATTGGAGATTTTCATTAAAGATTTTGGGAGGTGGGCGTTGGAGATCTTGGGAAATTAGACCTCAGTGTTGGCGAAGTGGAGAAGAAAAGGCTGAGAGTGGATATTTTTGGAATTGTTATTGCCGAGAAAAAAGGAGAGGAAGGAAATGTAGACGAGTGTAAAACAATGGGTATACACAGTTAAATTTAAGTAATTAAAAAGAAGGGGGGGAGGCGGAGATAGGACTGCATATTAGTTGCAAACATATATGTTGTATGCACATTATATATGTGTAAGTGTAAAACAATGGATATACACAGTTAAATTTAAGTAATTCAAAAAAAAAAGGGGGGGGGGGGGGGGGGGGAANNNNTGGTTGCAAACATATATGTTGTATGCACATATGTGCTTTATCTTTGAACTTATGGTATTACAAATATCGTCTTATCTTGAATGAAAAAGCAAGAACGAATATAGAAAAAAGGATATCTAATTAAATAAATTTTGTTTGCTAATTAAGTACTAGATTATCATGACTATAATTGATGAGGAAGAATTCTAAAACATTAAGTTGTAATAAACGAGTTAGTGTAAACTTATCACAGAAAAGATCACTTGTGATTTATCCAAATAATATATTTTCTTTTGGTTCATATGTACACTTGATATGGAGGCATTTCAGTTAAAAATAAAGCAACACCAATTTCAGTTGTATTTGCATCTCCTGTTAAAATTAGAGGCAGGATGAATCTAAGCGCGAAACCAGATATCAAAATAGAGACATGATGAAATTTAGTTAACCGCTACCATTTGATTCCAGCACTTTACTTAATATGAATAGTCATCCTTTTCAAAAAAAATTATTTGATCTTTTAAATTTACATTAAATATGACCTTACGTCAGGATATTAGAAACGTGATTTAGTAAAGACCATCTCTGGTCTGTGGTGGAAAATAAGTACAAAAGTCCATCTGTAAAGAATTTTGAGAAATTAGAGATGCAATCTGCGGAATCCATTACATGCATAAGCATCCAAATTTTTCATATATAATTTAGTTCACATATTTTTCTAGAATTATATTTCATTACTAATAGTTGAACATCACATGAGTCTCTTTGATTTAATATTGCCTGATGTTGTTCTTGTATTCTTTGTGATAGTATTTTGATCTCATGGTCAGATATAATGAAATACAAGCTTAAGGAGCCTAACTATGAGCAATTAATATAACTGTTTGGAACACATGATACATTTTGTCTTTTGACCTCGTCTTTTTATAAGCCAGTAGTTAGATTTAACGAAGTGATTATATTTATAACCATCTCATCCGAAGTTTCACTTTAGGTTGGTACCCTTTACTATTACTTCTATATAATAAAGCTTTTGGGTAATATAGTTTAGATAAGCATTATTTTCTATCTACAGTGATTATCTAAAATATAAGGAAACTTTTATCCACAACTTAAAAAAGAAATTTCTAAACTAAACAAGTAAGCCATTATTTTTCTGGCTTCTTTCAGATTAATGTTGCGGCATCACGTGGGCCAATTTTGCTTGTTTTCCCTAACAGAAAACTCATACATCAGTAAGTGAACAGAGCTAGACTGTTGCTCAGCATCAATGAAACTAGGGCAAGGTGCCAAGGTCATCTTCCTCAATCCATCTGTCCTTCATAGCTGAACATCTACTTGGGCGGATGATACAGGAGATCAAGCATTGGACGAGACAAGAAGAAAAGCACCTGTGTCGACTCAGACTTCAGATTAGGAAAGAGTTCTTTTGGTTATTTCCTTTTTGATTAGAAAAGAGTTCATTTGGTTATTTCCTTTTAGATTAGGAAAGAGTTCTTTTGGTTATTTCCTGTTTTTATTAGGAAAGAGTTCTTTTGGTTATTTCTTTTTAGATTAGGAAAGAGTTCTTTTGGTTATTTCCTTTTAGATTAGGAAAGAGTTTTTTTGGCTATTTCCTTTTAGATTAGGAAAGAGTTTTTTGGTTATTTCCTTTTAAATTAGGAAATAGTTCCTTTTTTGTTATTTCCTTTTAGATTCAGACTTTCTTTTTTATTAGAGTTAGGATAGGTTTAGTTGGTTATAAATAATAGTTCCTTTTGTAAATCAAATAATTAACTTTCAATTATTCAATCAAGAGAATTGTTCTTCATTGTTTTTCTTCTCAAGTTTGAGAAACCTAAGGCTTGTGGATTCATGCTTATTTTCTACCTGCTATTATCAGGGCTCGTCGGCATCAGAACAATATCCGATCGGTCTTCCCGTTTCTACGTCTGCGTCAAGTGGTATCAGAGCTTCGACTTCAATATCCTCGACAATGACAGATGACGGTGAGAATAAACTTTCTCTACAGGATCTTTCTGTAAGGATGGATTCTATGGATAGAAGATTTGGCACGTTGGAGACGTCTCTTCAGAACCTTCAACAAGTCATTGAAGGACTTACCCTTCACCTCAATAATGGGAATAACTTCGCTGACGGTCTTCACCTAAGCGACCCAGAGTTAGGCTACCCTGACATCTACCCCCGTACAATCCCCAACCCCCTCTAGTTCATCCCCCTCTATATCAACCACGTCCAAACCCAACCCCTCCATAGCAGCCCCCTCCGTATCAACCTCCTCCATATTAACTCCCTCCACATCATAAACGACATCCCAACCAACCCCCTCCACACGATGAATCCAATGACGAAGGAGCTATGGTGCCCAATTTGAGGGATCATAGTACGACAACGTCTCAAGCAAAGAAGGAGGGCGACCTTATAGCAGAGATCGAGGCAAAGGCTACAACCCTCGTCATAACTACCACCGACAAGGCCGACATCATCAGGAACAAGAATATCAGATGAAGGTAGAACTTTCTTCCTTTGGAGAAAATCTGGACATAGAGGCTTTTTTGGATTGGCTATATGGAGTGGAGAAGTTCTTTGAGATGGCTAATGTACCCGAAGAAAATCAAGTAAAGTTTGTGGCATATCGTCTCAAAGGAGGAGCCGCGGCATGTGGGATCAAACTTAAAACACTAGGCGACGGCAAGGCAAACAACCAGTTTGGGTTTGACGACGCATGAAGCAATTACTCCAGGCTAGGTTACTACCACCCGACTACTAACAGATCATTTACAATCAATTCAAGCAATGCCATCAAGGCATCAGATCAGTAAGCGCTTATACCGAAGAGTTCTTCCGTCTTACTTCTCGTTGCGATTTGTCAATGAGCAAGGAGCAACTCGCGGCCAAATATATCGGAGGTTTGAAGTATTCAATTCAAGAAAATGTGACCATCCACAACATGTACTTTGTGGACGAAGCCCATAGCATGACTCTCAATGCGGAAAGATTGACCTCCAATATGTTACCTTTCAGACAAGCCGAACAGGGAGGTTCGGTCGAGAAGGCGAGAGGTGAGTCGGTCGGGCAAAGGACGACTGATCGGCATGTTCCTCCACGGTCGGCCGAGCGATCGACAACTCAACCACAGCTCCCGACGACTCAAGCAAATACGTATGCCAAGCCGACTACAAAAAAGTATTTCCGATGTCTCCAACCAAGACACAAGTCCAACGAGTGCCCGCAGCGACGAAAGGTTAATCTAGCGGATTATGAAGAGGCGGAGGACGGACACACTGCATCTGAAGAGTATGAGGAAGAAGTTGTCGAGATTGAGGGCGACAATGTGTCGTGTGATGTTCAAAGACTCTTATACGCTCAGAAGACACCAGATTCATCACAACGACACCAAATTTTCTTTTCTAGATGTTCAGTCAACAACAAGGTATGCATCCTCATCATTAATAATGAAAGTTGTGAGAATATTGTGTCAAAGGCTTTGGTGGACACTTAAAACTGCCGACTGAAACAAAGCATGTGTCATACCATAGGATGGATCAAGAAGGGTCCCTCCGTGAAGGTGACCGAAGTATGTCGCGTACCACTGTTACTAGACAAGACTTATAGTGATTCTGTTGCTTGTGATGTTGTGGATATAGACGTGTGTCATGTCTTGTTGGGACGATCGTGATAGTATGATATCGATGCTAAGCATGGCGGCAAGAAGAATGAATATTTTTTCGTATGGATGAACAAGAAGATCATTTTACCACCAATTCCATCCTCCCTAAAAAACCCAAAGGATCAAAAATCCAAACGTATTTCTCTTTGCAACAAGGGAGAGTTTCTAGCCGAGTCGAAGGAGTTGAAGCAGAGGTTTACTTTAGTTGTTAAAGAAGAAGTGAAGACTCTCGTTGAGGTTCCAGAAAAGATGACGTCGTTGCTTAAGGAGTCGAAATGTTGGTTCCCGATGAGCTACCAGAGGGTCTTCCACCCATGAGGGATACTCAGTACCCGCAGGAGAACAAGGTTTTGCAGGATACCATTGAGAAAGCCAATGCAAAGTTCAAGACGCAAGCGGACAAGAAGAGGCAACTCAAGGTCCTCAAGAAGATCTTCAAGAAGATCAACGATAATGCATATGTAGTGGATCTTCCAGAAGGAATGGTTATGTCGAAGACATTCAATGTGACGGATATTTCTGATTATCATCCTTTAATCAAGTTGTATTCGAGTGATGCGAACTCAGAGATGAGTTCTTCTGAAGGAGGGACTGATACATGAGATCAAGCATAGGACGAGACAATAAGAAAAGCACCTGTGTCGACTCGGACTTCAGATTAGGAAAGAGTTATTTTGGTTATTTCCTTTTAGATTAGAAAAGAGTTCTTTGATTATTTCTTTTTTTATTAAGAAAGAGTTTTTTTGGTTATTTCCTTTTAGATTAGGAAAGAGTTCTTTTGGTTATTTCTTTTTAGATTAGGAAAGAGTTCTTTTTTGGTTATTCCCTTTTAGATTCAGAGTTTCTTTTTTATTAGAGTTAGGATAGGTTTAGTTGACTATAAATAATAGTTCTTTTTGTAAATCAAGTAATTAACTTTCAATTATTCAATTAAGAGAATTGTTCTCCATTGTTTTTCTTCTTTCAATTATTCAATTAAGAGAATTGTTCTCCATTGTTTTTCTTCTCAAGTTTGAGAAACCTAGGGCTTGTGGATTCAAGCTTGTATTGTTCTCCATTGTTTTTCTTCTCAAGTTTGAGAAACCTAGGGCTTGTGGATTCAAGCTTGTTTTCTACATGCTATTGTTAGGGTTCGTCAATATCGGAACGATATCTGATCGGCCTCCTCGTTTCAACATCTGCGTCAGCGGATGAGGAAGCATCACAATGTAAAACATGACGTACACCCACTGATGTAAAATGGTGTATAAAAGTAGATAGATTTTGTGGGGAAAAACACAGGTGAACAAAAGGAAGGACAGAAATTTAGTTAAGAGAAAATTGGTGTAACTAGAGGTGTAGAAATTAATTTAGTGGACACAACCGGATCTTCAACCTAACAACAAGATACAATAACTTTGTTGTTGACCAGTTCTTCATATTTTGCTGTGTAGAGGGCTAAAATCTCTAAGAAAGTTGCTAAGATGAAAACAAATTCTATTTAGTTATTCTCAAAATATTTTGTAAGATGTATATTCTTAAACAAAAGATTTTGAGGAATCCTCCCCAGTTGATATACTGGTTTTAAAATGATCAAACTTCCAGTAACACTACAAATGAGACTAGTTCAGGTCTGGCTCAACAGTAAAGAAAAGAGTTGGATAACGGAAAGTCCACAGTTCAAAGAATGGCCTGTGATTCTTGTTCAAATAATAAATAAATCAAGCATTATGATAATCTGTGTCTGAAAGGCACTAGTTAAAACCATGTGCCCGCTAATTTTTGTCTCCTTCTTTACACAAATTTAGGAAATATTTATTAATTATTTCCATATATTCTTTGAATACCTAATTTGTTCTCTTCTAAAATAATCTATTCTATATTTAGTATTTTTCAATGATTGGAGAAAATTAAAACAAGAGAGTTTGTTCAACAAATAGATTGTTTAGCTTAACTTGAATCATCAAGGAGGTTCTCATAATTAGAAATCGAAGAAAAAGAGAGGTCACTAGGAATAAACATATCTATACTTTGACTTCATTACATTTTAAAAGATTCGACTGAGCGATAAATTGATTGACTTAAACTTGGTTAAAAACTTCAAATGAATCTAGAGCTGGAGTAAAGAGATAATCAAATGGCATTTAGCTAGTTCCCTATGG